TTCTCTAGCACGCGGGCCCCGGTCGCAACGCCGTCACCACTGCGTTAGTCAACGGGACCAAGCGGGCCCACGTGTCAATGACGCCCACCGCTGACCCCTCGGCCCAACATGTCACACACACACCACACACACAGCGCATAGCATAGGGAAACGCTAGGTGCACCCGGTTAGTGTACACAGGTGGCTAAAAATACACTTTCCTAGCTTAGTAAAATTCCCAGAAAATTTGTAAATAAACTAGATGCACCCAAGAACCTATCCATAATATTTTCACCTATTTTCCAAACACCAAAATATCAACAAAAAATCCATTTAATTATCAAACTATATTTAAACTTCTAAAATTCATAACTTTTTCATCCTAACCCCGTTTCGCGTGAAACCACTCCCAAAATTCTTCTAAAAACAAGCTCTATTTATTTCACCTAGTACCACCATATTATTCTATGCTTGTCTTTGGTTGTTTGTTTTGTGTTTTGTATTTAGCGGTAGTCTTATTAAACGCCGACCAACATAAGACGGTGAAAACTTAGAAAACGAGGATCTAGAAGGAGATAACAACGAGGGCAAGTCCTAGCTACCCCTACCACCACCACTACATCTTGCCACCTCCGCCATAAACCCTGCTACTCTCCATCTCCTCTAAATAATAAACTCAACTATTATTATTTACCCTATTATTATGAGTATAATAAATTATGAGCTCGATTATTATGTGAATATTGATGATATGGCAACTTAATGTGATATATTATGAGCTCTATGACATGAACGAACTTGAGGATAATCACTGTGGTAATATGGCTGTGGTAAACTTGAACCTAACATCGACAGGGGGCGAGTGAGGGGTAATTTATGTGGAATAAGTTACCTTGGCAGGATCGCCTAGTGAGGGTTCCTATTGGGAGATACTCGTCTCAGTCACATAAGGACCGGTTTATAGGCCATCTCGCCTAGCCAGATATTCATACAGCCACATATCTATATGTGTAGACTTGATCTAACACCCCGTTAGATAGAAGTATAATTTCTACTAGGAGGCCGGTGTTGGCAGCGGAATATCGGGAGAAGACACGGATGCTAAGTGATCTTCCGTGGTCCGGTTGGCATGGATGCTAAGTGATCTTTCATGTAAAATTCTTGATTCGGCCGTGTTCGAGCCCTTATTATTAATTGGATGATGTGGTATCATTCGGGTTGTTGAAATGGATGATGTGGTATCATCCAAAGCTTTATGTGTTTCCAACCCCGAGAAGTCATGGTAGAATTATATGGACATCTAAGGTCACGTACTTTCGGGTACGGGGTCTCGTTAGGCCTATTTCGTTCACTGATCATGGATGGAACTGTGCCTATCATGTGGGAAAAGTGTACACCCTCTGCAGAGCGTATTGAATATATTCGAATAGCCACGTCCTTGAAATGGGCAACTGTTGGGATGAGGTCACTTATGATTAGATTTACTTTTATGTGTAATGAAACCGTGCTAACGTGATTAATGAATCTTATCACTAACTCGAGAACCGGCGAGAATGATAAGACTCTCCCAGGGCCCAACTTATATTCAACTAAACTATACCACCTCACCATTTCCACCTCCACCATCACCTACCATCCACCACACAGCCACGCCTTCATCACCCACTCCACCAAACCCTAATGGTTAGGGCTTGCTGAGTATGTTTGTACTCACCCGTTGTTGACTCACAGATTTCGATGCTGAGGAAGAATCCAACATTGACGAGGAACCACACCACGAAGACTAGGAGTCACGCAAGGACTACGAATCGTAAGGAGTCTTAGGATCTAGGGGTTCAACGGCGCTCAAGCATGCCTGTGGATTAGAGTGTTACTACGCTATAAAATATCGCCATAGTAGTTACCACCCCGCTATAATAAATGCCGTTTTATGGCAATGAGACCTCACTAGTCATGTAATGCCTATGGCTATGCCATCGGGCCACTGTTGTAAGACCTTATTTTTATATATCAATAAAAGCTCGGTATTTTATCAAATATCTGTGTGCCATTTCTGTTGTCTGTGCGTACTTGTGCGTGATCCTGGCAGATGCACCAAAGGACTCTCAGAAATGAGGGGCCGACAATATTGTTGCTTATATAGATAGATAAACAATTATAAATTAAAATTAGTGGATGATGTGGCACGCTGACGTGGATGACTAAATGCATGTTAGTGGATGACGTGTCTTGCTGACGTGTATATTATAATTGCATATGCTAGTCGGTTATAATTGTATCTGATAGTGGACTGTTGGCGTGGACAGCTTGCATGTTAAGATTGAACTCTAGTGGGGTTTGTATCTGATAGTGGAATGTTGAGGTGGACAGTTTGCATGTTGAGATTAAACTCTAGTGGGGTTTAGGATTATATGAGATATAGATATAGATATTAGATTAGATTACATTTTAGATATTAGATTCGATATAGATATAGATATAGATATAGATATAGATATAGATATAGATTAGATTTTAGACATTAGATTAGTTATAGATATAGATAGATCTAAGTGCTAATTCCCTTCTATGATGTGTAGCACATGAGCAATAGGTATTCAAAGAAAGTTGGACCTATCTTGCCGCATAACATAAATATGTAATTATTCAAAGAATATTTTGTTTCAGATATTATCACTGAGCTCAATATATATGGCCCAATTATAGCAGATGTGAGTGAAACAAGATAATATGATTTTTACTTCTGTAACGTTGAGAAGGGGCATATATAATTCTTTCAGAAGTTGAAAGTTTGAAAAAAAAATTTACTTCTTTGACTCGAGTAACAAAAGAAAGAAAATTTTTTAAAGTAAAATTAAGATCTTTGCTTTTACTTATAGCATTCTTTCTTTTACCTAAAAGAAAAGCTCAAATTAAAGCCATGAAACAAGTAGCTGACAAATCCAAATTAGAACTAGCTTAATTAATTACAAGCCTTTGCACAATTCACCTCGTGATGTTACATGGCAAAAACAAATTTTGAGGGCACCAAATAGTTAGTAAACTAGTCGTAATGAAAACAAGCATGCAAGGTGACGAGTCAGCACTCACCAATGACGTCACAAAAAATCTTTACCCTGTTCGCTTGGCTGATAAGCCTTGGCTGATTTGTTGTGAGAGAAAAATATTGTTCGTTGGCTGAAAAAATACGGCTTATAAGCCAAGCGAACAGGGCGCTTATTATTATGCTTCTTAGAATAAAAGCTATAAATAAAACTCCGAGTATATCTCAATGATTTTTTTTGAAGAACATTTTTTCTAATAATGATAGAACATTTTCTTACTTAGAGGAACAATGTTCTGAGTTTGGGTACAAATGCTCCATGTTTAAAATAAAAATGTTCCAGATACATGAGAAAATAGTTCTAGGTAGAAAAGAAAATGCTTTATTTTTAGAAGAAAAGTGTTGTAGCTTCGCTAAATTTTCAAGTTGAAGACAAAATGTTTCTAGCTTCGTGAGAGGAAACGTCCCAACTTAACAAAAATAAAAAAAAATTCATTTGATCTTTTTCAATGTTCTGATAAATATTACTATTATTGTATCACTAATTTATAAAATAAAAATAAATATGTTCAACTAGCCATTTGCCATGTTCCAAGTAATAAGAAATAAGAAAAGACACGAAACTGCAAAAATAATTGCGTGGAAAAGGAAGGGCCCAGGAAAAGCACGGCCCAGGTAAAGAACGGCCCATGAGGGTGACGGCCCCACCCCAACCGCCGTTCACCCCGCCCCGCGTTCTCTCTCCCTCGGCGCCGGCTCGCCGCCCGCCGCCGCCGCCCACGCTCCAGCCTCTAGGTGCCAAGGTCTTCGTGGGGCCCTTCGCCGGCGACTAACACACCACCACCATGTACGACCGCCCCTTCTCTTCCCTTCCTGCTCTACGAACCCTAGCACCAAACCCTAACTGTTTGGCTATCTGTGTTCGGATTTGATCCAATTACAAATGTGGTATATGTAGTATTATGCCAACTAACTTTTCTTTTTTGCAAAAATTATCGGGTGTACATGTGTACACCCATGCCCTTTACTGGGTCGGCACCTGGCCCAAGGGTGAGCATGGAGATCACCAACGAGATGCTCAAGAGCATGGAGGTCGGCCTGGCCTGCCAAGACTACGTGAGTAGCCTGTTTTCTTCTTCATCACTCCAATTCATATGCTTGACCACGGACAACATAACCTTGTTGCCGCCCAATAAATGGTGAAATCAGCGTCGGATCAAGGAACCTTAAGTTTTCAGTGCTGAGAAATCGGCTTCATTTGCTAAAAGAGGCATTTGAACACATCACATTCTTAATGGCCGCATATATAGTTAAATTCCCAGGGTAGAACATAGTACAGCTTGAACATTGAACAGCCAGAGCATGCCAAATGTTGCTTCATTTCCCCTGCTCGCAAATAATTATCAAACTCAGTCACTCTCTCTTTCCAGTTCCTCTCGAATTTCTCCTTCGAAGCCTATCATTATTGCCATGAATCGAGACACGTGTCAGCCCTGTCATACTTTGGTGATGCCAAACTTGAAGAAAATAGTGGTGTTTGGATTGCAGTGATGCCAAAGCTTGCCGCGTTTGTGATTTTGACATGTAGGACTCAATTATCATCCAATATTTCTTTACTAGAATATAGCAAGGGGGACATTTTCTTTTGTAGATTTCATAGCATGGAAGACAATAGTGAAAATGGTCCCCAAAATTGGTGCACGGTTTATGTGTGATCCTTTGAAGCTAGATGATCCAAGAGTTCGACATTTAATGCTGCTGATTTGGTAGCGCCACTGCATCAGTACTATGGCCATTTGCGCAGCCAAAATTTTGTCAGGCAAATGGCTTCCATTCGCAAATGAACAGGTGGACAGCTTGTCGTTAGCATTGTGCACACCAATTTTGGCAGCAATCAAAATGCTAGACAAATTTCTTTGGTGTTGCCAAACTTGGTAAGGCTCGCGGGGATCCAAACCAAATAGCCCTCGAGAATCCTATGCTGCCGCAGCCAAGCAGACGCCTCGCTAGTCCCTCCCCTCCTCTCTTCCAGCCGCTCCTCACGCCGCCACAGCACCGCTGCTCCTTCAGCCTAGTTGAGGAGAGATTCATCCATCCTGGCCTGGATTGGCTGGTTCCTTCTGCTGGTGAGCACTCCTTCCTTTGCTTGGATGGATTCTGTTCTTCTTAGAGTTGGATTCCCACTCATTTTTTGCAGATTCGCTTACAGCTACAAATCTGAATCCATCCATCCCGACCTCGATTGGTTCGTTCTTTCTATTGGTGAGAATTCCTTCCTTGACTGGATGTATCCAGTTCTTCTCATGGTTGGATCCTCAGTCAGTTTTATCATGAATTTCTGCGCTGCTACTAATCTGAATCCATCCATCTATGGTTTGATTTGGTTCTTCCTCTTCTTCAGTTGCCGAGGCCATATTCTTGGTACCTGATTGATTAGTCGCAGCTTATTTTCCAAATATTTTTGGAGGGTTTGCTGCCATGACAAGTCCACCCAGGGTGAGCATGGAGATAACCGATGAGGTGGTCAAGAGCATGAATATAGGGCTGGTTTTCCAAGGCTATGTAAGCCTTTGTTATTCTCCCAAATTACCCATGGCAGTTACCTGATGGAAATTAAACTATTCTACACCCCTGGGGTCCAAAAATTCTTTTTTTAGAGAAATCAGTGCTGAGTTGATACTTGAGTTGACTTGCTTTTCTTATTAAATTTACTTCACTTTCTTGAGGGAGTTCTGTTTAGACTGCTGCATGAATGTGAATGCAAGGGCTTGGAAGGTGCATTGGTTCCTATATATTGCCCAAAGGGGTTTAGCCGTTATTTATCGTGTTACCATATGCGGTGGTGGGATGGGGTTCATGTTCTTTAGCTGTACTGGCAATTTTCTTGATATAATTATGTATATGTCATAGTGCAAAATGAATAGAATAGTGTGCCCTTGCTACCATGTGACAAGTTTTAAATTTCCAATTAGCTTGGCATGTACTAGTGTGATGTCAGACTGGAGCACCCAAGTATCAGTGCATCGTAATGGACATAACCAGTTTAAAAAACATAAAAAAATGATTTCATGGTGTGTTTTTATGACTTCAAAGACTTGTTTGACTTATATCTTTGTTGCATCCCTTTCAAATGCACATCTCTATTTAGAGAACTGCTCAATATACACTGGCATACCTAGGCACACTATACTCATTTGATTCTTTTGGTGTATCATAATTCTATTTCAGAATGGCAGAATTTGTTCTATGGATTTTCACAGCAAGGCTACCAACTATCTCGTGACAGCTAGTGATGATGAATCAATCCGTCTATATGATACCCAAGATGCAGTGTGAGTGTGGATCATTACTCTGTCTTTGGACTTTTATATTTGAGTAAAGCAAATAGGGTCAGTATTGAAAAAAATTTGTCATAAAAGATGCAATTTCTTACATTTTAGTAGTTCAGTAGTTGTTTTGTCTAGTTGGCATGTTCACTGATGTTCTGTAGAATTTACTCTTTATTTTCGGTTTCCTAACAATAATACTGCACCAATGCAAATTCTTGTGTATCTTTATCAGTTTATTTTAGTGACTAATATTTGAAACTTCTGTTCAACTTTAGTATTCTACACAAGAAACTTTCATTTATGGCAATGATTCAGTGCCTTTGTGTAGTGATTTTTTTTCACTCTAAACTATTTCGTTCTTTGTGATATGTATTGTTTTTTTTACTCATGTAACTTTTCAGGTGTTTGAATACTATTAATAGCAAAAAATATGGGGTTGAACTTGTGTGCTTCACTGATAACCCATCAATTGTCTTATATTCGTCGAACAATGGCTGGGATGGTAAGTCCTGTCTTATGTCAACTTAAAAATGATTTATGTCATGTACTGAGAAGAAGTAATAATGCAGACTCTCTGTGTCTACTCTCAATGAATGATAACCGGTTTATTAGATATTATAAAGGTCACGTTGACAGGTATGCCACACTATCTTACAATAAATTATGTTAAATGTCGCCTATGCTAATACCAGTGGGGGATGCTAATGTGCTTTGTCTTGTCCAGGGTTGTCTGCATCGCACTTTGCTCTGGAAAAGAAAATTTTCTCTCTTGTTCACTTGATCGTACCATTCTCTTATGGGATCATCGGGCTGAAAAATCACAGGTAAACTAATGATGCTGCACACAGTCATGTGACACGAGATAAACTCCAGATTCTGCTTCACTACCTATTTACGATCAACTTAATGAAATGCAGTTTTCGATGAGGAAGGCTATTTTGGATTTCTCTTCTCTTACTACTTGTTCCCTGTTGAACCAACTCCTTGAATCACTTGGAAGTTGGAACCCAAAATGTATCATTGTTGCAACTGAATCATTAAAGCCCTTGTTGTTGTGTACTGTATTTTTTGTAAAAGTAAAAAAAAATGGATATTGAATTCAGGACATTCCTGTAAAGGTAAAAAAATGAAGTATCTTGGGCTTGGTCATTTTGTTTAACTGAAATCCACAACATCTACTTCCTCCAGTTAAAAATATAAGTCGTTTTCAGGATTCTTTTTTTCTGCTTAAACCTTTTTGGCTTTGACCATAATAAATATATATATAAATGTATGTAGATTGAGCACATAAGACTGATGTTACTGGATTTGTAATGAAAAATCGTTTATGATAACACTTTTTATATAAGGTGACCAATTTTCACAGTATTTTCTAGTCAAAGTATCACATTAGAGTCCTGTAGCTTTCCTAGACAACTTGCATTTTGGATCAAGAGGGGTCATTTAGCATTGGTCGGCATTAGTTGAATTACCATATATTGCTGGTGACTAGCAAAATCATGTCATGTTTTTTTCAGGGCTCACTGCATGTGCAAAGGCGGCCTACAGTTTCATATGATGACCAGGGCATGGTATTTGTGGTCGCCTATGGTGGTCGCATAAGGATGTTTGATACTCGAAAATTTGGAAAGGTAGTTTTCATTGAATGTGCTGTTTGACCTTTAGTGTTGAGCTCTTCTAACTTGTTATTATTATGTCCATAGGGGCCTTTTGAGACCTTCTCTGTCGGTACTGATGATTCAGAACCCCATGTCATAAAGTTCAGCAGTGATGGCAGGCAGATTCTGTTAACCACTAAAGTTGGGCGTGTTCATGTGCTAGATTCATTTGAAGGCAATAGCGTAAGCATGCAACCTACTAGTTTATATCATGCATACTAGTTCTAGTATCTTTTTTTTTCCTTCCTTTCTTTCTTTCTTTCTTTCTTTCAGATTGCAACGTTTCATGCGAAGCCAATACTATCCAATTCAACACTGGAGGCATCATTCTGTCCTGAGGGAAACCATATCATATCTGGTTAGAAACCATTCCTTATTGCCCTTGGCAGTCATTGCCATCTCTCTGTTCTACATAGCAATGCTTCATCTTCTCTTGCAGGATCTGGTGATGGTAGTGTTTACGCTTGGAATGTTGAGAGCGGAAAGGTGCAGAAGAACATGTCATGTTGATATTGAAACTACCTATATGTTATATATCTGTTTGACTGATGTACGGTCATTCTTGGACATCAGGTTGCATGCTGGGAAAGCACAGATACCAAACCGCCGCGGGTAAGGTGGTCTCCAGGATCCTTGATGTTCGTGACAGGAACAACAGAACTGTCCTGCTGGGTGCCGGATCTGTCCAAGCTGGAATCCTTCACCATCACCGACACCGACACCGAGTAGATGCAAATGATAAGAGGTGGACTGCTCTTGCAAGTCCAGCTCGTCTCTGTAGACTCTGCCAATCTGCCGTGTGGCTGGTTGACGCGACTCAGTTAAGAGTAGGCATAGCAGGATATTGTCTAGCCTTCTCCTCATCCTGTTACAATTCAGTGACTCGATCTTAATTAGGTCATCAGCTGTGAACGACGAACAACAGACTATAGCGGAGCTTCTGAATGAATGAGTTGTGATAATTGACTCAGTTAAGAGTAAGCAGTAATAATTTTGCCTTGTGTGGTGAGAAGTATGTTGCACATTAGCATATTTATTACTATAAAAAGAGTTTCCTTAAGTTTTGAATTATGATACATTGATACTCTATCTAGGCGCAAGAAAATATCTTTTTTTTTTTACGGCCAAACAAAAAAAATCTAGTTTGGATTGGATGAGGTATCCGGTTCATGTGTTAAGAAGCCTTCGATCTTGCTGGGCTAGGCAGGTGAAAGTGAAACACTTTTCTCCCTCTGTTAATCTCTAGTATATCATCTATATGTTTTAGGCTTGTTGTCGATATTGTCGGTCCTCCCTGCACCAAAATTCTGGCTCTGCCTCCGGGCGAGGCCAAATTTGATGAGCGGCGTGTGGAGCTGTCGCAGGTGTGCCATGGAGGCACGTCGCGTGTGGAGGAGCGTGAGGGCAGGGTCGGAGGCAATGAAGGTGGATATGGAGGTGGAGGAGGGGTGGAAAGGAGGACCGGTGGTCACCGTTCAGTGGCACCATTGCCATCCTCTTCTCCACCTCGTTCTTGCTTGGCTCTGTGGTTTTGGAGTTCCCCGACCCTGACCTTCACGATGGTGTGCTCTCTGATGGTGCTGCCGTATCTCCTCGGTGGCCTCCTAGATGGCGTGCTTCCCAACATCCCCGAGGCCTTTACCTCCCCAACGGAAGTTAACGTGGAGTTGACAGAAGTGATAAGCAGCTAAAAAATTACATGTTTTGATGGTAAATATCTTAAGCTGATTCTTTTGATGCTATATATATATAGGATGGGTTGTTTCGATCGTATGGAACCAATTTTCCCATCTTTATAAAGCTTTTACCTATGTGCCAATATAAAAGATCGAAATTACTTGTGTACCATTGGAAAAAAGAAAAGTTCTTCCGTACCCTTGCACAAAATTTCTTTTTCCTACGTGCCACTTCCGTCTATTTTGTCAGTAACAGCAACTAACGACCATCAAAAATGATGTTTTTTGCCTCAGTTGTAGAATGCATCAAAATTTTCATTCTTTACTCTGGTGCCATTGTAACCGTCTGTGTTGCAAAAAAACTTCGCTTTTCCCTCCATACCACTATGACAGCTTGTGTGTGTGCATATGAAAAATTCCAATAAATATAATAAATTTACATTGCATCCAAAAATTCGACAATTGCGACAATCAAAATATATAAGTGTTTAAATTAAATAAAATACATTCAGACATAAATCCAAATTTATCATCCACATGCACAGTCAGATTGATTACAAAGTCAAGTTTGTTTCTTGGCTGATCGACATCAGAGGCAACTCCAACTCTGTATCTCCCTCGCGAAGGATCAACAAAGGCACAAAGTACCAGAAGATAGGAACCGAATAACGAATCACTTCAGAGGCCACTGATCGTTCACGCAGCGGCATCACCCAATGAAACTACCCCGCATGCATGCTGTCGCTGCCGTTCACGCGGCTGTGGGCGCGGCCATGATGCTCTTGCGTGCCACACTCGCCTCTCTTGGAGAGGTTCCGGAGCACCCCGGCATAGGGCACACGCGCCCATGGTCACGGCCGCGTTCGCGACGCCGTCGTCAGTGGGAGCAGCACCGCGCACGCGTACTCAGTCGGGCGCCGCGCCACCGGACTCGAGCCCGTGGCACAGGTGGGGGCACTCGACTCCTGTGTCAGGGACGGCCGCGCGACGTCGTAGGATGCAAGGGTGGCCAGCGCTGCCACGGCCTGTTCGCGGAGATCCCCGTCGCCGTCGCCGGAGTCGAGCAGTGCCGCCACCGCGGAGACGGCTGCGGCCGCGAAGGGCGCGCAGCGCGAGCGCGGGAGCGCACGAGGCCGCGGACCCAGGCGGAGCTAGGAGACTCCGGCCGCGTGATTTCCCGCCCCGCGTGCGGGCTCCCGGCCTCCCCACGCGCGCGCGAAAAGAGGCACGCGGAGGCTCCCACGCGCACAACCTCCGGTTCCGACGCCCAGCGCCTGCTCCCAACCCGCCTCCTGCTACGCGGCCAACGCCCGGCTAACCGCTCCCCACCACTGGCCACCGGGAGTTGGGGGATTTATAAAAAATGATGGGCAAAAGTGTAATTTCAGGTCCAGCCGACAGCCATCTTTATTAAAATCAACAGAAACGCTGTACGTCCACGCATGATTTACTCGCCACTGTCAACCGAATTTTCTTGATCTTGGCTCAAGAGCTGCAGCTCGATACAACGTCACGCCGCCCCCAGCTCTTCGAGCGTTGGATTTGATCGATTGCGTTTCTCATTTCTAGGTGGACTTTGTTGCTTGCAGATGCCAAAATGCGTGTGCGGCCGGGATCTGCCGCCATGCAGCCTCCTCCTCCCCGCCGCGACCTCATCGCCGATGATGATGAAGTAGCTGTAGCAACTCATGCCGACGCAGCAATAGCAACAACACATGTGGCAGTACCATGTCTCGGAGTACCAGCCGAGGCCGGACGTTACGCCTTCCTCGGCGTCGGTGGCGGCAGCGTGGCATGACATTTCGAATTTTTGTGAAGATTTTGTATTCTTTTTAAATTTGTGAACAATTTGACATATATTTCTCTGATCTCTGGAATTCATAGAAATAATTTGTAATTTTTTTTGAAAAAATTGATATATATTTATGTTATTCCCAACTTACATCACTCTGTCCAATAAAATTACACTAAAAATTATTGTAAATATAGTATAAGTATAGGGAAAAATTCAGTCGACGGGAGGAAACCAAAACAACCAGATGTCACGTAGACGTATCCAAAATCAAACGGTAAGGTAACGGGAGTGGTAGGCAGGGAAAAGAAGATTCGTGTAAGCGTGTAGGATAACATTTTTTTTCCCCAATGGTACACAGTTAATTTCGAGCTTTTATAACGGCCAAGCAGGTAAAAGGCTCATCTTTATATCCCAAACCCATTCCATGAGCTATCCAAACGCCACCTTCGCATTATCTCTCGCGCGCGCCTCGCAAGGTAAGCCATGGCGGCTAGGGCTCGAGCTCCTCGTCCGCCTTGTAGGTCCTTCCCCGTTGAGGCACTCGTCGATTTATTTCCCCGTCTCGCTTGCTTTCTTCTCGCCCGTCAGGCGTTCACTCCTTCGGTAGAAGGAATCCATGGCGGCTAGGGTTTGATCTGTCCTTTGTTGCTCCCTGCGTCACCAGGCCGCTTAAGATCCGTTCGAAGAAGCGCGAGCCCTCCAAGAAGCGGGAGATCTTCAGGGAGAAGTGGATCTGCAGCGGCCGCCCCCGTTCTCGAAGAATTGAAGGAGCAGTTGGGGACGACCGACAAGGCGCAGCAGGAGCAACGAGGGAGAAGGGGAAAGGAGAGGTGAGTGCCCGGCTCTGTTCCTGTTCCCGTTCTTGCTTCTTGGACTTGCCTGCTCCTACAGTACTTCGGATTGCACGCTATTCTCTTCTAGACTATTCTGGAATTTCTGATTTCATCGTGGATTACATGCAGTGTAGTATAGGGTGTGCATATTATTTGGTTGAGTTCTGGATCTTATGTTCAGAGTTGTATTTTTGGACTGATAGTGTAACCAAAGCCTGAATGTCACCAATCACCAGTAGCATCAATGTCTTTGTCGAGTGCCAATAATCACTTGATACATAAGGCTTAGCTAACCCACAAGTGGTCAGGTGTTAATTTCGTGTGCACTTTTACAGAATAAATGTATCAACATATGTCCAATACAAGTGGGATTGCAGGAGAGCACACTGCTGTTCTTTTTTTTTAAAAAAAAAACACCTTGGTCAGGTGTTAGTAAGCTTTTTCCAGGAGACATTTCCTGAGATAGTGCTCTGTGTTCATTAGTAGTAGTGTAGTTCAGTTCTGATTGATGTGTTGTGTTCATTACTAGTAGTGGCTGCTGATTTCTGCAAAAATTAAGTTGTCAAAGCCTAACCCAGCCGAATGATTTCTTAGTGCATGCAATAATTTTGTGTTTGCCGTGCTTGGAACCCTGTCCAAACCTTTGTTCAGTTCTGTTGTCTTGTCTGAATATGTCTCAAGTTAAAGAATTATTATGGTCATTACTTCGGATGGATGTATGCTCTCATACGCTTTAGGGATCTGATACACTAATTAATTGCATGCCTATCTTCAGTTAACTATGCGCAGATTATACTATTTTATATATTTGTTATGTAATTTCAAGCGATGCTGGTCTGCTCAGCATTATTTCTCTGTGCTGATTTCTGCAAAAATTATGACTATGCATTCTTGTTTGTTTGGTGTTTCTGAAACAGCAGTTTTCAGAAACAGCAACAACTTTATTCTCTGTTTAGTGTTTCTGAAAATGCATATCTATGGTGTATTTCTCTGTGGTCAAATGTCCATGTCCTAGAGATCATCCATTAATCAAATGCATCTCCGTTGTCTTTGATTCTAAGGATATCGGGGACTTAAAAGCCATGACCACAAACATTTTTTTTGAGAATATGCACTTTTGTTTATTTAATAAGAAGGATGAAGTTCCAAAATGGAATACAACGCGAGCCCATGAAGCGAACCCTTACAAGATCATTGACAGGAGACTTACGCTAACACAGTTACAATCAGGACTAAGAAACAATTGCTAGCATCAAAACCTTCACACTACCACTAGACCACATGGTTTTTCTAAATGTACAGCTACTACCCAATACGATATCTAGACATTTTAGTTAATACAACAAACAAGTTATAGATTCATAGTTATTTTGAAATGAACAGGGGCATAGGGTTCAATTGAAACCCTATTTTTCTTATCTAGAACTTAAACCGCACCCACACCCAAAGCCCTACGGCACCAACTGAGATGGACCTAGCACGTGCTGAAGAGGTTAATCGAGGCCAACAGAACCGCGGATGGATTGACTGCCAGATCAGTACTCCACCAAGCAACAAACCCCGAGGTACCGATGGGGAGAAACAAATGTTTGGATTTAATTGCTCGCAGCAACGAATATGAATCCTTGCCCCTCTGTTCATTTCGAATTACTATGAATCTATGGCTTGTTTGTTGCATTGATTGAAATGGTCTAGATATCGTATTGGGTAGTAGCTTTACATTCAGGAGAATCATGTGACGTCTAGTGGTAGTGTGAAGGTTTTGCTGCTAGCAATTGTTTCTTAGTCTTGGTTGTAATTGTGTTACCATAAGTCTCCTATCAATGATCCTGGAATGGTGCGCTTCATGGGCCCGTTGTATTCCATATTGGAACTTTATCCTCCTTATTAAATATACAAAGGTGCATATTCTAAAAAAAATGTCTGTGGTCATCGCTTTTAAGTCCCCAATCTCCTTAGAATCGAAGACAACAGAGGTGCATTTGTTTAATGGATGATCTCTAATGACCATAGAGAAAACACCATAGATATGCATTTTTTTTCTTCCAAGTGGTTTTGTCCATTTTCCTTTCTTGTTTACCCATTCTTGATATAGTATTGTTTTGCTTCGTAGGGAGCGCAACTCGAGTCTAAAATATTCAGATATTGCTAAAGATGTTGGGTCATGGTCTAGCTACTGATCCCTCAAGAACCTTACTATATCCAGTTACTTCAATGGTATCAAGTGCACCCTTGGGGCTTGTTTCTTCATTGAGTTTCAACTGGGGATGCAAGGAAAAGAACAAAATCTTCATCGATGTGGATAGGTATGGTTTCTTACACTTCTTGCGTCTCAGCCTCCAAGCTTTCGTCTAGTCTCTGCTGTGATTGAGAAATACAATTTCTCATCCAAATCCTTCAATGCAGATACACGAAGTACAGTACTTCTTTCTGTTATGCGCCAAGAAATGCCAGAATCACACCACTGGCAACTGCATCATTTGGGGATATGGCTGATTCTTCAACTTGTGAGTATTTGCTACCCATGTCTATGACAAGAGAATCTTACATAATTAGTTTATATACACTTGAGATTGTTTGGCACTTTTTTCATATTGAATTTCATTTCAATAAACCTGATGTATGGTTTTCTAAGGAACATCAAAGTAGTAACTTGTTCTCCAGAGTAATTGACCTTGCATAAACATTGAATGTTTTCATTGCCAAGTGCACCGCATTTGACATTCATGTATGTAGGGAACGAGTAATTTCGGTAATCAGTATCACCTGTTTCTGTCCCAACCTTTTTATAGATTACATGTACCTGTGATTGACCTTTTGCTTTTGTTGTTTGTAACAGTTCTTCTGTATAATAATCCTTGAGCATCCTTTTTGACTGCTTGATTTTATTTCAGCTATCTTTCCCCGAATCCATGTAAAGGATCCATACCAGCGTCTTGGAATCAGCAGGGAAGCATCAGAAGAAGAAATTCGAGCTGCTAGGAACTATCTGATAAGCAAGTATGCAGGCCACAAGCCAAGTGTTGATGCAATTGAGTCTGCCCATGACAGGATTATCATGCAGAGTTTCTTTGATAGGAAAAAACCAAAAATGAATCTCAAGAAAAAATTTAGGGAACTTAATCAGTCACGTGCAGTGAAGGCTATTCAAGGCAGATTTCAAACACCACATAGCAAAGTCATTTGGCAGACAGCTATTGCTTTTGTCTTGCTTGGAGTGCTTACCCTCACTTTCCCTACTGAAGAAGGGCCAACCCTTCAGGTGGCCATCTCTTGTGCAGCAAATATCTATTTCATTTATCAGAGGGTCAAAAGTGGATGGCGAGCATTCTTTTATGGGTATGCTTTCTTCTTTTGTAGGATTTTAGTTTATTAATTATACATCTGCATTGGCCTATGATTAGCTCTTAGTACAATTGCATTTGTTTTGGATTCATTTACTCTGTATATTAGATATGTTGCCACCATTTTTAGTCTGTAGCATTTTCTTCCCATTGAGAAAGGTATTTTTTTCATCAATAAATCCTATTATGGTACTTGAGCCTGACAACCTACAATTCTAGCACAGTAGACATCCCACCAGAAGAATATTTTTCTAGCTCCTGGCAGCTAAGTACGCCTGTTGTGGTGACAATGGTTTGTCCACCACTGTCTTCAGGCTGTACAAGCCAGATATGTGGTGGGGCATATTTTCTCACCGCATGTGTATGGTACATAAAACTATAAAAGAACCTTTGCATTCTCATATCCTGCAAGCAAGCAAATGCAAAATAGATGATCTCCTTATCTAATCCTTATCTGGTAGTCATGTTCTTCTTCCACTGATAGGTCCGTTATTTGAAAATATGCTGGGACATGTATTTATGTTCCTGTGACTGTATTGCAGTGGTCAATGGCAGATCTTGGACTTAACAACTTAGCATTTTAGTTTGGAAGTAAATATTATTGTAGACATACATTTTAGGCTTCTAGCATTGTAGGTTGGCCTGCAGATATATTGTTGTTATGATATTTAGAAGTTAAGATTTTAGCTGTGCAATAGAAGTTAAGAGGCTACTGAATGGAGTAGAAAATATAATAAAATGCACCCCAGGTCCAACTTTTCATGGATTCTCAGTTGGGTGCTTGAGCTAAAAAAGTGACTATCTGGGTCCTCAATGTACTGCGAATTCTCACTTGGGGTCCTCGAACTAAAAAAGTGACCATCTGGGTCCTCAATCTACAGTGGCGCTCAATTAAAGGTCCATCCACCACCAGCTGCCTACGTGGCCGTGTCGATTAAAGTTGCAAAAAACCCTCCCTCTCCATCTCTCCCCTTGCAATCACCCTCTCTCCTGCAGTTCACCTCTCTTTGTATGTTACATGGCCACTGAGTGTGCCTCTAGAGTGCAGACGTAGCTGTAAGGTTGGCGGGCGGTGTTGGCGAGTCACACAGGCGCAGCCACGAGGCAGGTGTGGGACCAACGGGAGACAGGAGGGAGTGGACATGGAGATGGGGGAGGGAGGGGGTCTGCAAGTTTCACCTGGCCTCATCCACGCTGGTGCATCCACGTAGGCATATAGAGGGTGACGTGATGGGATTTGGACCTCTGCTCAGGCGCGACATTAGTTGAAGGATCTAAGTGGTGACTTTTTTAGTTGGAGGACCCAGGTGAGAATCCCTCACCCCTTTAGTTCGAGGACCCAAGTGAGAATCCATGAAAAGTTTAAGGACCCATGATGTATTTTATACTCATATATAAATTACAGTGGCAGTAGTTGCAAATCCTAAATGGTCACTCCATGGAGTGGGAAATAGGTCTTTTCCCCTAATACAGTACTATAATTTTGCCATGCTAGGAGCAAAGCATAGACTTGACAACTTTTCCGTGTAATCATATTCTTTTATGAAAGTTTTCTTAACCAGAATATTGAAGAGGACCTGTTCTTATCAGCTCCATGTTTCCAAACAATCTCTTTGCTGGTATAACTTATGGTATCACAGGGGCGGAGCGAGGGCCAATGCTGTGTGCTGCTGTAGCATGGGTCCAAGCAAGTTTATCTTTGGTAAACATTTGTTGTTTTAGACCCAAAACGCTAGAGTTTGGTCCAAATTATGGTAATGCAGCACCTGTCCACTGCACAGGCCTGGTTCGAAGCCATTTCTAGCACCGTTCCTTGGTGTTCACGGATAGATCAACCTCATGCCTAGTTGCTCAAGAGTTGTGCGGAGGCCTGTCCACTTGTTGATGCCAATCATGCCAGTCCATATTTGAATTAATAAGTCAGTTTTCTGATGCATAAGCATACGAAAGTTGTGTGCAAATGCTTGTAGATGTAGGTCTTGTGTTCTGGGCCAGACACCAGATTGGCCCAGAGGGTAGATATTTGTGATTGAGCACTGCAGTAGCTGGCATTTTTTAGAATTTATTTAGTTTGGTTTGGGCCATTAGAGCTTGTTATAATCTTTTGTCTTTGATAATAATAAGCAGAATATAACGGTTTTGGCTGAATAGCGTCTTCTTAGTGGGCCCACCAACATTTCCTGTCAATTCACCGTAACTGCTATTGCTGAGATTAACACACTATTCTCAGTGCTTGCTTTAAATTTTTTTTTTAAAGTAAGCAGTCTTTGGCATCTTAATTTGTGAATATTAACATTTGTGTACATTGCTTTAGGTGATTCTTTTGAAAGAAACTTTAGTTGATTTTTTAATATATTGTTTTATGCTTTAGGTGGTTCCTGACACGCTGAGATTTATTTGATTTTTCAGGTTTGGTTCTTTCTTTGCTTCCTGGTTCCTTGGCACCTTCTTGATGGTATCTGTAATTCCTCCTATACTCCCCGGTCCAAGAAACTTGGAAGTGAGCACCGCGTGTGTTACTTATGTGCTCCTTTTCATATCGTCGACCTTCTTGAAGTAAGAGATCTAAGTGTTTCCATGTTAGCCCAAAGTCTTGCAGAAGTTATAAACATGGTATCCTGCTCCAAATAACTTGTACAATCCATCGACTTTTTCTTTCTTTGTTTCACGTTCATGGAGTTGGAAGTGCTAGTTCTTTGGTGAGTTGATAGTAGTTTTCTGGTGGCGATTTGAGATGTAGAACTTTTTTTGCCTTGGCCCGTGAGATCTTAAGCAGAGTCTAACAACACCTCTTGTGGGCATTTTCGGTTGATGTATTAAATACAGTTTGTTTTCGAATGAATAGATCATATAAGATAATATCCATGCGATTGAACTGGTGAAGTCTCTCTGTCGTTACCGATGATTCAGAACCCCATGTTATGAAGTTCAGCAGTGATGGCAGGTGGATTCTGTTAACCACTAAAGCTGGGCCTGTTCATGTGCTAGATTTCATTTGAAGGCAATAGGGTAAGCATGCAACCTACTAGTATATATCATGCATACTAAGTTCCAGTAAAATGCGGTTCTTATGTCTTTATTGCAACGTAAAAGAGACCGTGACGCGAGGGTTGTATCAGGCAATTTAAAACTCTAATTCTAAATTATGGTCTCTTTTTTAATCTTAGTAAAACCATATAAAAAGATAAACTATTTAAATGTACAACTACGGTTTTACTAGTGTGTTGCTATCTTTATCGTAAAAGGATTTATGTGAACAATGTAAATGTGGAAGCTAAATAGTAAGAAATGTGGAAGTTAAAGAGTAAGAGATATGCAAATCTTTACCGAGGTATCGAGAAGCGAGGTATCGATTTCGTATTTTTTATCTTCGAGGGAGCCTCTCGAAGCTCGTAAGGGTCAAGCTTTTTCATAGTAACTCGTTGATAGCCCCTTTCCTACACGTAAGTGGGTCTCTTTGTGTCTTCTTAAGCTTCTCTGGACCGCTCCTTGTAACTTCACTATGGCCTTGATAGCCCCGGTCTTCCCCACACGTAAGTGGGTTGTTGTGAGGAAGAAATATTCCGGCAAGATGAATAATGCTTGTGAGGACCGCTTCGTCGCCGATTTTTTCTATCAAGTTTTATCAAGCTTTCGAACCGCCACGGGTCTTATTCCTTTCGGTACACGGTGTGCTTCTAGGGTCTTGCTTATGGTGTTGATCGTGGGATCATCATGTCGCCTTCGTTTAAGTCACGTCTTGCACCCTATTGAACTACAAAATAATTATTTGTAAATTCATTAGTTCAATTTAATTGTGTTGGTCATCAAATACTAAAATTCAAAGTAAATAGACCTAGGGTCAATTTTCCTTACACAACGTTTCATGCGAAGCCAATATTAACCAATTCAACACTGGAGGCATCATTCTGTTCTGAGGTAAACCATATCATATCTGGTTAGAAACCATTCTTTATCGCCCTCTGCAGTCATTGCCATCTTTTTGGTCTACATAGCAATGCATAATTGCATAATCGTCTTCTCCTGCAGGCTCTGGTGACGGTAGTGTTTATGCTTGGAATGTTGAGAGCAGAAAGGTGCAGGAGAACATGTCTTGGTATTGAAACTACCTATTATGTTATATATCTGTTTGATGACTGATGTACGGTCATTCTTTGACATCAGGTTGCATGCTGGGAAAGCACAGATACCAGACCGCCGCCGGTAAGGTGGTCTCTAAGGATCCTTGATGTTCGTGATAGGAACAACAGAACTGTCCTGCTGGGTACCCGATCTGTCCAAGCTGGAATCCTTTACCCTTACCGACACACCGACACCGAGTAGATGCAAATGAAAAGAGCTGGACTGAGCTCGTGTCTGTAGACTCTGCCAATCTGCCGTGTGGCTGGTTGACGCGACTCGGTTAAGAGTAGGCATAGCAGGAGATTTGTCTAGCCTTCTTCTCATCCTGTTACAATTCAGTGACTGGATCTTAATTAGGTCATCAGCTGTGAACGAGGAACAACAGACTGTAGCGGAGCAGCTGTATGAATGGGTTGTGATAATTGGGTTTTGTTCTTGATGGCAGTAATTTTGCTTTGTGTGGTGAGAAGTATGAATCGTGATACTCAATCTAGGCGTTCTTTTTACAGCCAAAGAAAAAAAGGTGCCCTTTGTGATGTAGGCATGTTTAGTTTGGATTAGATTAGATACCCGGTTCCTGTGTTAAAAAGTGTTCCAGTGCGCTGGGCTAGGCCCGCAGCTTCCAAATAAATAGTCTTCCTGGGCCTCTTAGTGAGCCGCAAAAGAAAAAGGCCCGTCTTGTTTTTGTCGGCAGGTGAAAGTAAAACAGAGACACGATGGGAGCATCACATCACTCTCTTTTGTCCTAACATGAACATTAACTACAGCTCGTTCTTTTTATTTGCGTAAGTTGTATTTTCTACTCACGACAAACTAGTAGGGCTTTTTTTTCGAAGGACGAACTAGTAGTTAGGAAAGCTAGCATTTACAGTTGGCACGCCATGTAATCAAATTTCTGCGTTCCTAAACATAACCAAAACCAACAGACACATCGACAGCTTAACAAAACATACGTCCACATCAACATCTAAAAGGCTACCACCTAGCAGGTTGGTGACCCAATAAACAAATTCATGAGGTATTGGTAGGTTTGCCACAATTTTTTTTTAATACAACTGCTTACTTAGTCGTCTTAACAAAAAAGTAACTTAGTATGTATTATACACCCGAACAGTTCACATAGTTCATTATTTACACTTGTAAAATTGAACCGACTAATGATATTTACCCTTTCTCTATTTCCTCCTCCTCATGAAATCGTGTTTAAAATGTGTTTAAAATGCCTGTATATAGCTGGCGTCCCTGTCATGCCACGCCAGATTCTGGAAATGGCCAAAATGAGATGTTGAGATGTTTGGTTTGTGACCGTGCCAAAATCATAAAGGTTGTTGGCGGTGAGTGTGACATGTGGGTCCAACTTGTTTGAAAGCGCCTAGTACAGGACTGTAATCTATATTGGTCTTAATTTGAGTTGTGGCTCAAGTGACTGCGTTGGAGTTAATTTTCGTAATATACTCCTTCCGCTGGTTCATAATTCTTGCCGTTGGAGTTAATCATAGCTTAATAATGCATAAAACTTTTTGAGAAAAACACATTATACTTGTCGTCTCAGAATACATTGTTTTAGAAGTTATGTCTAAAGCTTAACTTGAGCCTTGTCCAAGAGAAGAATAATTATGGAACTATATATATAGGGAGTACACTAAGTTGTAGTGTCGTCCCTACAAAATTACAACCTGAAATTAACTCGTGCAACGAACTAAAAGAATAAATCCCATTATATGGATGTCTATGGACTAGTGTTTGGCTAGACTCCTCTGACTCTGGCCGTGCTACACTACCGGAGGAGCCGGAAGAAGCCATAAACATAGTTTCTTCGTGCTTCTAGCCCATGTCACGAGAATAGAGAGAAAAACAACTCCTGTGCATGGCACACGGCTGGAGGAGGCAGAATCAAAAGAAAATGTGGCAACGTCAATCTGAATAGCCAGAGGGGAGGTAAAATGACTTAAATTTTATTGGAACGACGGTGTAAAATTGAAGTGAATCGTTGGAGTGGCGACAAGATGGTGCTGGAACCGTACGTGGCGGGTGTCGGTGCACATCAGCACGTGGTGTGCTGACGAGGCAGCAAAGCGCAGAGGTCATCGCTCGTCAGTGGAGTAGTAGGAGTGAGGCAAAGCGCAGCTGCTCAACTGTAAACAAAGCAGCAGCAGGTATACAGTATACTGCCTTCGTCTGTAAGTGAATGTCGTTTCGTAAGTTTAACTAGATCTATAAAAAAAAATACATGTAATATTTATATCTCTAAATAAATTTATTATAAAAATAGATTCAACGATATATCTAATGATATTAATTTATATCATAAATATTAATATTTTATATATATATTTAGTCAAAGCTCTTTGTCGAAAAACGAAAACGATAGTTATTTAGAAACATAGGGAATACGAATAAAAAAATTGCAGGAGGCACATGGCTGCCCTGCCTACATGTTGCCTGGATGCATCTGCTGGACTGTCCATGGATGCATCTCAGCTCATCATTGCCCTTGTCATGAGGCTAATAAAATGAAATAATAAACCAAACAAAGCGGAGAGAGTAGAGTAGTTTTTACTCAACAAGTAAATAAATAAATAAGAACAGTGTGTTATGGTCTACTACTAGTAGATAATAAATAAATAAATAAATAAATAGAGCTCTTCATTCACACTTGACATTATACTAATCTTGTCTGGAAACTGCATCAACAAACTGGACTACAGAAGCAAGAAAAAGGAGACAGAGGGAGAGAAAGTAAAATGGAAGCAAGAACCAACCAATAATCACGCAATCGCAATCAATTCAAGAACAAGAAGCAGGAAAAAACTACTAGTACTAGTAGAGATCATCGATCTCAAGGAAAAATGAAAAAAAAACTAATAAAGAAGAAGAAAACTGCAGTGTAGGTGTAGCACCACAACTCATCAGCACAGAAGATCCGGAGCCAAAACCGACTGATGGGACTACTCAGATCAGATCAGATCAGAGCATCCTGTTGAGGAGAAGAGCGGCGGCGGCGGCGGCGGCAATGGGCGTGGCGGCGAGGAGCGACGGCGGCGGCGCGGCGCTGGACTTGGCCTTGGACTTCTTGGCGGGCGGCGAGGGCGAGTCACCGGAGGAGGAGTCATCAGAGGAGGAGGAATCGTCACCGGAGGAGGAGCTGGATCCGGATCCGGAGGAGGAAGAGCCGGACGACTTGGCTGTGACGTGGACTTTCATGCCGCTGTAGCAGTAGCCGTAGCTGCAGATGAAGTAGTAGTCCTTGGCCTCCTTGAGCTGGAAGGCGTAGGTGTGGCCCTTGCTGTAGCTGCTCAGCGCGCTCGCCTTGTCGCAGTTGTCGTACCCGACCTCGTCCACCTGCACCACGTCCGACCGCCCGTTCTGGTACTCGAAGACTGCAACCAGACGATGCATCATGGTGGTCAGCAATGCTTGCTGGATATATATGTGACCATGGATCCAAGCATCCGTGGACACAACAGCGACAAGAAGAAGCAGCAGCAGCTTACTGAGCCAGTCTCCCTTGTAGAAGGGCTTGTGCTTCTTCACCCAGGCCGTGTAGTCCACGTCCGGGTTCCACCCCTTCTCGTCGCCCACCGTGTAGTTGGCGGCCACCGCCGCCGACGGCAGCTGCGACGCCACCGCCGCCACCAGCAGCATGGCTAGCGCCAGCCGCATCGCCATTCCTCTGATCTTGCTGGCTTTGGTTGGTTGGTTGGTTGGGACTTGGGGAGTTGGGACGGATGGGAGGGAGCGAGGTGGCCCGGCCGGATGAGCTTGCAGCTAGCTGGAAGAAAGAAGAGAGGAGCTGAGCTATCTATCAGCAGTGGCCAGTGGGGAGGTGGTGGGTGGGGACCAATTGAACCGACGGACAGTAGTGAAGGGCGCAGCAGAGTGACGACGAGCTGAGTCGGTGACCTCTGCGTGCTGATCTGAATGAATGAATACGGAGTACGTCCTCTATTGCCAAAAGGCAACAACCCTCCAGATGCAGAGGCAGGGAAGGACTTTTAGCTTGTTCGGCTGTTTAGCTCTCAAAACAAATTTAAAAGTGTTTTGTAGAGACCTGTTTATCGAATTTTAAATACGTTTTTCGTGGAAGTTAAACGTAGTATAAAAAAAACTAATTGCACAGTTTGCGTGGAAATCGCGTTAAATGAACGTTTTAAAAAGCTAATTAATTAGTTTGATTGAAAATCATTAATTATCGAATAAAAACGAAAATCTACATTAAACAAAATTCACTAAATTTCAAAAAACTAAACACAGCCTTCGGCTGTCAGCTGCTGCTGGCTGTTTTAACAGTGTTTTGTGAGAGGAGGAGGCGGCAGCAGCAGCCCTAACGGCTGCGAAAACGAGCTGCCGTTGCCTCCCGTTGCCCACGGGCCGACAAATCAGCGTGTGTGTGTGTGGCAGCTCGCAAGGGACGCCAGCCAGGCAGCCGCTTTATTCATTAAAATCTGTCCCCTTGATCTGTCCCACAAGAAGTGTGGTTTTAGCCTATATAGGTGGTCCCCACGCATACCAGGCCTATACCTTTCTCTTCTCTCTCCCACCTTTCCTTCCGTTCGCTCTCTCTCACCGCCATGGTCGCAAGGGAGCCGCATCCACCGTCGCCACCCACCGCATCCGGCCCCGCCGGCATCGAGGCAGGAGCAGAGCGGGTCGCCGCCGGCGAGGCTCGTGGCCGCGGCCTTCCTCCTCTTCCGCCGGCAGCCCCCCTCTTCTCTTCTCGTCGCGCGCGTGGGTGAGGCAGGCAGGAGGTGGAGCGACACCCAAGGCGAGGCTGCCGGCGAGGTCAAGGACAGACGAGGATCCCGCGGCTGCCGGCGAGGTCAAGGACGGGCGAGGATCCCGCGCAGCAGCACGCCGTCGCCGATCCGCACGCCGCGGGGAGCCGTCCCCTTGATCCTCTGCTCCACCGCCGGCGAAGGCCAGGCGGGCCCCTCGGCGGAGGCGTGCTGCTGCTCGCCTGGATGTGGGGGTCGGGAGAAACACAGGAGAGAGAAATCGAGGCCTTCGCTCGACTTATCAGTACCAGCCGAGCAGGTCCTCATGGAGACGGAGCGAGTAGCGGTATACGGGTCTTTTTCCATCGATGTTGGTTTGCGTGCTGTCCCAGAACGACCGATTTTCAGCGTGCTCGGCTGGGACACAGGAGCACTGTAGATCGGCTGCATTTGGATGATTGAATAGTATTTTGTGAGAGAATAAGCTAAAACCAGTTAAACACTCCGAGACCGTATATTTTTTTGACGGAGGGAGTAGCTGAAACAATCCAAGACCCTATATTTTTTTGGACGGAGGGAGTAGCATGGATTAGCCTAGTTTATTAGTTATGTTATCGTATTTTTCTCTCATAATAAAATATCATCCGCGGACTTATCAACACAGAAACCATCAGCCGAACATAAACTAAATCGACTGAGATTCACATGTTTCCACACCGTACACGTGTACAGTAATACTCCTATATTACTCCCACCATAAAAAAATACAATTCTAAATTTTCGTTTTTTATAATTTTGAATAAATTTATAGAAAATAGTATCAAAACTTACATAGTATGTCTATAAGTAGACTATTGTAAAAATAAATTGCATCATTAATCTAACAGTACCTAAATGTTAGTCTTTTTTTTAGATTTAATTATAATTAGTTTTTTAACTCATTCGAAAAAAGAGAACTACACTTTTTTTTTTTGAGACAGAGATTACTGAAGTACTACCTAAAGGCTAAAGGTGGTCGTGCCGCGTGTGCAGTAACTATTCAAACACCTGGTGATCGATGGAGTAACCATCTGGTACCGTTCGCACTTGCTTTTTGATCGAGTAAGCTGTTTTCTTGCAAGAACTATACATGTCATATTGTCATGGACTCTGTAGTCATGATCATGGATGCATCATTTCGCGCAGTCAGTCGATTGAGCATCACCTGGAACAAATGCTAGCTTGATTGGCACTCGATCAGTCGATCCATCATCATTGTATGTATGTAGTAATAGTAGTGTTCATGAACTCATGATGATGAAGGATCTACAACAACGTGTGTAGGACAGCGGCCGGCGCTAACGTTAAAGCGATTTCGTGTGACCATTGCACAATCAATGCAACGTAAGGCCTTTTCTTCCTTTCAGTTCCCTTCCTACCTAGCTAACTTTTGATGCATTGTTGCTCATTTACGGCATGTTCGGTCGTATTTAGCTTATAAGTTATGGCTTATCAGCTAACGAACAATATTTTTCTCTCACACCAAATCAGCCAACAGTACTTTCAGCTATGACTTATAAGCCAAACCAGCCCAAACGAACAAGGCATTAAGCCATGGGGTGTTTCAGAAGCAAGCAACCTACCGTACCCAACGCATTCTTTTAATTTATTTCCACAAGAATGACATTTATAACCAATCAGATGGTTTTCTTTCTAAGCACACGTTTCAATTCGTCCAAAGAAAAAAGCAAAAAAAAAAAAATGAAGTCATGGTGGTTGTGACTCCAGGCTGGTGGTACTGCAACTCATTTTCATCTCCGAATTGACATGTGTTGTTGGTCTCATTGCAACTACTCAAAAGTCATGCCTGGTTGTTAGCATTTGGGTCTCATTGCGCAACGTTTAGACGATGGAAGGTCATTAGTTACACTATATATATCAGTCTCGCCTATTATTATCCTTCTAAAAATACATAGATCGTTTTAGTTTTATCTTATTGAGTCATACATCGCTAACTTGAGCATTTTTATAAAATAATACACGAACATCTATCTATAAAATGAAATTAGTTCGATTAAATCCACCATCAACTATGTTTCAGTAGTGCACTTCTTTGTTATTGTGGATACTAGTATATTTTCCTATATGCTTAGTCAATGCTAATGCTAATAAAGAAATTATAACTTATAATAGAATTAAAATTACTTGCATTAAAATTTAAACCACCAATGCAACCAAAGAAAGACGGACAACTTCAGCAACGAACCATCGTTACTCATTAACTATAATAGTTGTAGATAAAATAACACCCGCCCTGTGTGAGATCCACCACTAGCTACTCCTCCCATTTTTTACATGTTGTATTAGGTTTGTCATATGTCAAACATTAATAATTTTGAGCATCAGATTTTAAAAAAGCCATGTGGTTTAACAACATGCGAACTATATATTATGAAAGTATTTCTCATAGTGAGTATCTAAAAAATATAAATCTTATGTAGTTAACTTATAATATTTTTTTTTTAAAAATTGATGATTAAAGATAGAAATATTTAATTTAGAACAAAACTAATACAATATGTAAAAAGCATAGGGGTAGTAGATAGTGAACCAGTGCTAATGATATATAGCCATATAGGCAGAAAAGCTAGGTAGTAGCTTCTCAATGATATAAGCCAACTATAAACATCCAAGAGAGAGAGGAGGGGGGGCGAGAGAGAGAGAGAGAGAGACTGTGCATGATATATTGATAGGAGGAAAGAGGGGGCAGTTATCGGTTAGGTCCGGCCATGTGAGGTGAGCGAGGAGATGCTGGGCCATATGCTCCTTTGTTTCCGACAATGCCACTGAAGTTTAGCAGCAACGTGTGGCTGGCGCAGTGGCGCTCATCAGTGTGCCTTTGCGTTCAACTGATCCACCGCTACTTTCTTGGCTGGCTCCACACACATATCTATCTTATATCTCATGAAAGCATGCACGATAACACCATGGCCATGTGATGAGCTTCTTTTGCTTGTTCATGGTCATGGGCAGCAACTTGCTGGACCGCCCCTCTCTTCTCTCCAAGTCTTTACCAGTCAAGCTTCTTTTATATATATATATATAGAACTACTGTTCTGTAGCTGGTCATAGAATAACTTATTGATAATTACTATATTAATTTATCAGATTATAGTAACTCCTTACTAAGTGATTTACTATAACATTATGGTAAATATCATCGTGAGTTATAGTAACACGAGTATCGTCGTAAATTGGTATAAACATTATGGTAAATCAAGGTGGCTATAGAATAAGTTATTTTATGGCCAGTTGCAGAACAGTCTTACCATATATATATATATATATATAAAATAAGTTATTCTGTAGCCACCTCCATTTACAATAATTTTATATACTAATTTAAGATAATGTCAATACATATTTACGATAATTGGGTTACTGTAACCCATGGGGATATTTACCATAACTCCTTACTAAGTGATTTACTATAACATTATCGTAAATATCACCGTGAGTTGTAGTAACACGCGTATCGTAAATGCATATTCATGTTATCGTAAATTGGTACAAATATTATTGTAAATCAAGATGGCTATAAAATAAGTTATTCTATGGCCAGCTGCAGAATAGCCTTACCGAGTAAGGCTATTCTGTAGCTGGCCATAGAATAAGTTATTCTGTAGCCACCTTCATTTACAATAATTTTATATACTAATTTACCATAAAGTGAATACATATTTACGATAGTTGTGTTACTATAACACATGAGGATATTTACCATAACGTTATAGTAAATCGCTTAGTAAGGAGTTACTGTAATCTCGTAAATTAGCATAGTAATTATCGTAACTCAAAGTGGTCACAGAATAAGCTATTCTATGGCCAGCTGCAGAATAGTAGTTATATATATATATAACTACTGTTCTGCAGCTGGCCATAGAATAAGTTATTCTGTAGCCACCTCCATTTACGATAATTTTATATACTAATTTACCATAAAGTGAATACATATTTACGATAGTTGTGTTACTATAACACATGAGGATATTTACCATAACGTTATAGTAAGAGTTACTATAATCTTGTGAATTAGCATAGTAATTATCGTAACTCAAAGTGACCATAAAATAAGTTATTTTATAACCAGCTGCAGAACAGTAGTCTCTGGTTTACAGCAAAAGCAAGCAAAGGAAACATACCTCCTTGTCATTGCATTTGCTTTTGCATCGTCTCTCTGAGCACGCAAATGCAGGGCTCACGTGAAGAAGTCGGATCCAGATCTCCAATGCAAAGTGCTCACCCTATCAAAGGTTGGTGACTGAAGCACCAATACATGCTTTGGCTCAAGTCAAGCCTCAAGGGCAGTGGCCTAGCTAGGATTTATAGCTATGGTGGTTCATTGTCTAAATTTTTTTAGCTGCTATAAATTTAATATGTTAGTGCACAAGTACATGAATTACAAAACACAATTAAAAAAAAGGGTATACAGAGTTCGAGTAAAGAAGAAAGGACATCATGATCAACAAACAGGTAGTGCGTTGCTAGCCTTGCCTCTGACTCCGACGTTTGGCCGGCCGGCGGTGGCCGGCGGCTACGTGGCTGCTGCAAATACAAATCATCGAGACCCCGAGTACGGGTTTGGACGGTTGGAGTCAGAACTCAGAAGACCAAGGTGCAGGTCGCGGAGATGCGGACTTCGCTTTCAGGCTTGATCGGGATTCGGCAGCACAAGCACATAGGCCAGCCCAGCAGAGTCCACATCCAAATAATGAGGGAGTGAGGGGTACTACACTTTGGGCCAAATCTACAAGGTGGTCCGTGGCCCACCCTGTCCACCCTGTAGTGCTCAAGGGTTGCATTGGAGCAAAGGGTACATTCTATCCACCAATCCGCCTCGGCTGGCCTCATCTCCCCACGCTGCCACGCCATGCCACCCAACTATTGCCTCCCTATTGCACCCTCTACTAATCAACCTCACTGCCTTTTCCAAGATGGTTGTGGCTGGCACCCCACGACGTTGGCGGAGCCAGGAATTAGGCATAGGAGGGGCCAAACATAAAATTGGTGGTCTATATCACCTTATTAATAATCAACAAGTTTATGATGAATAGACTATACGTATCATCGGTATTTTCATTTGGTCAGTATATGCGATATCAATAGCTTGCAGATTCATATTTCCATGATACGCCAAATAAATAAAGAAGAAGGAGAAAATATCTAGAGAAATATATTTTTTACAAGATTGGAAAAATATAATTGGATTAAAAAATATCAATGGAAGAAATATATTCATAAATATCTTGCTTAGTAGCAAGATATCCATGCCAGTGTGCTAGGATTAACAAAGGAAAAATTAAGCAACAAGGTGTGTGGATAGTTGGGCCGGGGGGGTGGGGGGTCTCAGGACTTGGCCTTCTTATATATATACGCTTACTACGTACTCCGACCGTATGGAAAGTAGTTGAGTTGTGCTTTACACAAGACCATCATCAGTAGTGGAAAAACGGTGAAGGAAAGGAAGCTCATCCGGGTCCTCCATCGAGGTGCCGCAATGGACATCACCGGCGTCGACCTCGACCGATTGGTAATTAAGCGGCGGCCGACGTACCTTTTCCTTCCTTTGTTTATTCTTTTGCACCGGTTGTAGTTCATATATCTGTAATGCCAGCCGACGCAATATACATTCATAAATGTCTTGCTTAGTAGCAAGATATCCATGCCACTGTGTTAAGGTTAGCAAAGGAAAATTTAAGCGACAAGTGTGTGATAGTGGGGTTAGGGAGGGGGGGCACAACCCCTACTCCCCCTGCTTCCACCATCGGTTGATGACTCCTCGCTATCTTACCACCTCCTCCACATCAGTATACCACTAGAGGTCATCTTCGAAAGCAAAACTGGTTAAGGATACGTGTGAAGAATCTTATATACACTACCGGAATCCTTAAGTTTGCCGAGTGTTTTTATGTTTGCCGAATGCATTCTCTTGGGCACTCGGCAAACAGATCTTTGACGAGTGCTTTTCGAAAAACACTCGGTAAAATAAAAACACTCGGCATATAAGTGATTCGCCGAGTGTTTTTATTAAAACACTCGGCATGCAAGTTATTTGCCGAGTGCCCTGGATCTGGCACTCGGGGCACTCGGCAAAGCCCCTGCCCGCCGCACACTTAACACACACGCACACCCCCTCCTTCCTTGCCCCCCTCCTCCTCCTCTCCCCGCCTGCTCCCCTCTCCTAGCCCTCCTCCATGACCCTCCCCCTCCTCCCGCCGGCGCCACCCCCTCCTTCCCCGGCCACCGCCCTCTCCCTCCCTCTCCTCCTCCCTTTCTGGCTCCGGCGCGCCCCCTCCCCTCCCTCTCCGACGTTGGCGCGGCCCCGTCCTCCCCTCCTCTCTCTCTCCGGCGCCGGCGTGGCCCCGCCCTCCCCTCTCTCTCATTGCCTCCCTCCCTCTCCGACGCGGCCCTGCCCTCCCCTCGCTAGATCCGCCCCGCCCTCAGCTCCCTTCCCTCCTCCCCTGCCTCCTCCCCAGATCCACCTTGCCTGCGCTCTCTCTCCGCCCCAGACGTTGCACCCTCCTCCTTCCTCCTCAGTGCGCCCTCCTCCTCTCTCCAAGACGCCCCGCCCTCCCTCCTCCTCTCGATCCGGCGCCCCCCTCCCTCCTCCTCCTCCCCGGATTTGGCCACCGCCGCTCCCCCTCTCTCTCCCTGTGGCGGCGTGGTGGTGGTGGTGGTGGTGGTGGCATGGCGGGCATGGTGGCAGGCGCAGGAGCTGCGTGAGCCAGTCGAGCGCCAGGAGGCGATGAGCTCGCCGGCGATGGTGGCGGCGCTGTTGGTGGAGGGGCTGGCGTGGTGGTGCTATTTTTTTTGGAAAAATATTTGCCGAGTGTTTTTTGGCACTCGGCAAAGTCTTTGCCGGATGCCCGACAAAAAACACTCAGCAAAGATTCTTTATCGTTAAAATTTTTACCGAGTGTCATTTACCGAGTGTTACACTCGGCAAAGGGTTTGCCGAGTGTTTTCGTGCCTGGCACACGACAAAGATCATGTTCCCGGTAGTGATACCACATATGCTTGAGCCCTGCTCTACCTCTAGCAACATCCCTATTCAAGGGATGACCCTTCCTAGAGCCAGCTTTGATTTCTCTGGTTCCAACTTGGGACACATGCTCCATTTCCCTATATATTATGCTATTTCCAGCCACTTGTGATTTTAGCAAAATATAAAAGCTGTCATTTTCAACCGACTTCATGGCAATTTTCGATTGTCACTTTCAAAAAACTCTTGACCGAACAAATTTCTATTTCATATCACAATATGGTACCGTTTCATCATATACCGCTTTCATCTCTAGGTTAGAAATCCATTTCGCGTGGAATGATAGAATAGAAGATAGCAGCCGGTAGCAAAGATCGTCAAGGTTCCATGAAAAAAAAAAAGACGAAGGTCCACCACAAGACCTCAATGGGCCTTTAACGCGTTCCTCAGATACCCGTCCAAATCGACATGGGCTGGCCCATCCCGAGAGACAGCCCAATACCCGTCCCAATCCACATCCCGTCGGCCGTCGCCCTCAGATAAAAATCTGGCAGAACCCGAGTTCTAGAACCCTAGCCTTGCGGTCGCGGATCCGTCCTGCAAATCTCCTCTCCCACTTCTCCGCCGGTGAGCAGCGACCAGCGTGTTCCTCGATTCAGATCTCTTGAAATTTATCAGCTTTCTGCCCTTCTTCTGATATTTTCTGTGCTCTTCTTCTTCTTGCTGCCGCTGTTCCTCTGTTACTGCTGCTATAGGATCCCTGTAAGATTCCCGGAGATGTCGGACTCCGAGGAGCACCACTTTGAGTCCAAGGCCGACGCCGGCGCCTCCAAGACCTATCCGCAGCAGGCCGGCACCATCCGCAAGAACGGCTACATCGTCATCAAGGGCCGTCCCTGCAAGGTGAGATTCACCATCTCCCACTCTGTCGCTTGTTAAGGCATGCAATTGATCTCATGGCTTGTTCTATTGTTGGGAAAAAAATACTTTCCTGTTGGTAGCCTTTTGTTTTAATTCCCGTAGCTTAGAGATGCATCAAGTGCTAGATCTGCTACATCAACCGATGTGGATAGATATCTATACCATTGACTTAGAGTATTGCTCTGTAGCATAAAGATTTGATCTTTAGTTTGGTGCCTTTAGTAAGGTTTCAATTTTTCAACAATTTCCATCTGGCTTATGTGCTCCATGGGGCTATTTTCCATGTAGTGGTTCTGTAATATGTGTGCCATGTCCTCTGAATCTGTCTAAACAATTTCTGTACTTAATGATGATTATTACTGAACAACTAGACAGCCTTGTGGATTAGCAAGCTATCCATCCTGAATTATATCACATACCTGTCTCAAAAAGGTGTTTCAGTTGATTTATGAGAGAACAAGGTCCTGCAAGATTATTTGGAGAAAGCAGACTTAAACTAGAACTTGTCATTTGGTGGTTCTGAATGATATGTTCAGTTCAACAATGCGGGTTAAACTAGAACTATTTCCATGTAGTTTTTTTTTTTCTGGCTTCTACTTGGCAAAGGAGTTCTTTTTTGCTCCTGGCACCTTTCCTTCCACATAGTTGCTATTTGTAGCAGTGTCCATCATTGATGAATTGTTGTTTGGAGTCATTATCACTTGTGGTGGTATGAGTTGATAGGCAACATTCAACTATTCTGTCATTTGTGTCTAGCTTGGTTATACATGTTTTCATACTGGACTCCAATATTTTTCTTGCTACCCTATTTGCTTACCTGGAGTTGGGGATGGTATCTAGAATGGCATTTTTATTACTTTGTTATATTCCTTTCTGGTTTGCACATCTGCTATGGTAGCTATATTCTCTCATTAGATCTATCAATTCTCTTAGCGTGATGCTCATGTCAAGCAACCCTTGATCTGACAATAATTTTGGTATACGCTTTGTTTTAGGTTGTTGAGGTCTCCACTTCCAAGACTGGGAAGCATGGCCATGCCAAGTGCCACTTTGTTGGCATTGACATTTTCACTGGAAGGAAGCTTGAGGATATTGTTCCTTCTTCTCACAACTGTGATGTAAGCTATCAGTATTACTCCTTGTGTTGCTTTTTTCAGTTAAGTGCACAGAATTTGTTAACCTTTTGTCTTATGCCTGCATTGTACAGGTTCCACATGTTAATCGTGTTGAGTATCAGCTGATTGACATTTCTGAAGATGGATTTGTGCGTTTGCTTATTCCAACCTGGCCTCTGTCTTTCCATCCAACTTTGTCTTTTTGGCAAGTACATTCCGGTTTGTAACATTGATGATGGCATTTTACAGGTCAGCCTTTTGACTGAGACTGGCAGCACTAAGGATGACACCAGGCTTCCCACTGATGAAGCTCTGCAAGCCCAGGTCAGTTAGCCAAATAAGCCTATTGCCTCTTTCGCTTCTGTTCCAAATCTCTTAGACACTTTACTTGACATCTGCAGATCAAGAGTGGATATGATGAAGGAAAGGACATCCTCCTGACCGTGATGTCTGCCATGGGTGAGGAACAGATCTGTGCTGTCAAGGAGATTGGGGGCAAGAACTAAAGCTGCTTCTTCGCACCCGCTATTTGAGGGCAATACCTGTTGTCTTGAGCTTCGAGTTGAGAAGCTGAGTTGAGATACATACATAGGTGTTTAAGTTATCTGTGGTTTTGGGTACCTGGAATTTGTTGAGATGGTGTTATTACTTTGTGGTACTTGGTTATCGATCTCTGTTATCTTTTTTGAACTGAAGTAACTCCGGTTATCAATGGGAATGAATTGCTTATATATATTCAGTTGATTATGGTGTGCCCTGGTTGTGAATGCTGCAACAAATGAAGCAAGCACTTTTGTGGGTGGAAGCAATTCAGTTGGTTGCTTTCTGTTATTTCTCAAATGATGATGAATGTGTCTGCCACTTCTATCCTCTGTTATGTAAATCTGTATTTCAAACTGGACATTACCTAGTTAGCTGTGAAAAATATCCATAAACTAAGTATTTTCTCACTATATTTTAAAACAAATTTTATTTTATTTAGGATTAAGTCCACTTCTGGTTCCTCAACTATTGTGTTTGTTTAATTTTAACTCTCAACTACAAAACCGTCTAGTACCAGTACTCAAATTGTTAAAACCGTTTACTTTTAGCACCTGGGGCAAAGGTAAGGCTGTTTTAACCTATGTTGAGCGGTTTTTATGTTGACTTGGTCCACCCAAAATGGCAATCGTAAACAGTGGGCCCGGTAACAAAAGGCTCCATACATGTAAAAAACGAAGGGAGCATTTTTTATGTTGACTCCATGCACATTTGGCCAGCTCAAACATAGCTCTCGAACAACAAGTTGCTCCGTCGCCACCTCCCCGCTCACTCGTCCTCGTCGCCGCCGCCGCCGCCGCCTCCTCGCTCTCTCCGTCGCCGGCGGCAAAAAGAAGCCCGCTTAGTGCTGCTGCTCCCCACGCCACGCCACGATGGTGGAGGCTCGCTGCCGCCGCCGCCGCCGCTGGGTATCCATTCTTGGCCGGCCACCCACTGCCGCGCCGCCGCCGCGCCGCGTCGTTAAGCGCCTTAAGCGCACGCGCATGGCCCGGTCTTCTTTGCTCGCTTAGGCCGCGTGCCCACCGTCGTGGTGTCCTCCGCGCCGCCGCCGAGGAGGTGATGCGGGCGCCATGGCCGAAAGCACCTCCTCTACGGCCGCGACGTCGCGTTGTCGCGCCTCTACGACGAATCTCGGCGCCAGCGCGCCACGCCAAAGGTCGTCCACCTCCTCAGCAGCCGCGCCCGGGAGGCGAGAGGCCGCCCGCCGCCCGCCGGGCAATGGCGGGCGTCGGGCGCGCCGTCGACCTCGCCGAGCTCCTCATCGAGTACGCCCAGCGCCGTTGTGTCGCGTGCCACGTTCGGCGACGCAGCGCGCGCCACGATTGAGATGCGTCTTTGTTGTCGGGCAAGCGCGAAAGCAAGCCGCCGCGTCCCATGGCGGACAAGCCTTGGGGACGGGGCGGGAAGCCCACCGACGGCGAGGTTGGTGATGTAGACGACGGAGGGCGCGATCTCTGGAAGAGGCGCGACGGTGACGAGCTCATCCGCTGCGGCTTCGGGTGTCGCCGACGACGACCGACGACGGAGAGGTGAGCGCCACGATGAGGGAGCCCGCGCAACGACAAAGCAATACCCCCGGCCTTGGCGGTGGACTAGCTCGCGAGCCGCCAGTAGCCGCGCCCACGCGGCCACGGGCGAGGGAGGAGCGAGCGAGCGAGGCGGAGGCGGGCGCTGGCTTGGTGGCGGCGCTTGTGAGGTGCCCGAGGTAATGACGCGGGCGGGAGGAGCGGGAGAGGAAGCAGTGTGGCGGAGGGCGAGGATGCTGCAACATTTGCGCCATCGGGCCATTGGTTATTGGTTGTGTTGTGGCGTGCAAGGTGGGGTGATAAAGTGGTGAGCGCGCGCCCACCATGGCGGGGTGTTTGGACGATGAGTCAATGATGAGTGGATGTCTTTGCTGGTGCGATGCAGCACTGCTTACTGGCCGGCTCACAAAACCGCTCAACGTCGGTCAAAACAGATTGTCCTGGTCTCAGATGCTAAAATAAACGGTTCTGACAGTTGTCATACCGGTACTAGATGGTTTTGTACATAGCTGGCCATGCAGCCCGAGCCCGTCGGCGGCCCGTAGAACCCATTTTTTTTGGCCCGCCGCAGACGGAGGCGGGCTAAAGGGCCGGCCCCTGGCCCGGAGGAGGAGGCGAGCGTGTGCACAGGCCTTACCCCAGCATGTGGGCTTCAAGACGACGACGACGACACACAGAGCAGTGCGCAATGGGCCGACCACCGCCTCCCTGCCCCCCCTCCTCGTCCCTGACGGCGGATCCGGCCCCCTGCTCGTCCCCAGCGGTGGATCCGGCATCCTCCTCCCCGGCACAAGTGGATCTGGCGGCGGAGATCCGGTGGCGACGCTTTCTCTCCTCTGGCGGTGCCCTCTCTCCTCGGGCACGCGACGGCTGCCCCTGCCTGCCCTTCCACACCTCTCTCTTAGTGGGCCTTGGGCTGGCACGACCCATTAGCCGTGGCGTGCTTCTCGGACCGGACCAGCATGGAAATCGGCCCATAGGGCCGTGCCTGGGCCGAAGGCGAGGCCCGTGGCCCTGTGAGGCACGGCCCGGGGGGCTCGGCGTGCTGTGCCGGCCCGACCCCTATCGGGCCGTGCTTTTCACGGGCCCGTGCTAGGCCGGGCCGGGCCGGCTCGTTGACCATCTATAGTTTTATAGTTGAGGGTTAAAATTAGACCAACACAATTAATCCTTTTATTTAAGTTCCAAACAAGACCCCGTCCTCTGTTAACCGAGCATTTGGCGCCTTTTATGGATACTATCGCTTACGGCTGCCGCGCTCAGTGAAGATAAGCTACGGGGCCACTCAGCTTCTCCCATCCCATGTCCACCACCGCCGTGCTCCCCTCCCCGGCATCGAGCAGGCACACGTCCGGCGGCAGTGTCCAGCATGGCGCCCTCACGGCGGACCGCGCGGCGGCGCTGCTGACGGGCTGCGCGTCCGCGCGCCGCGCATCGGAGCTCCACGCCGCGGCGGTGCGCGCCGGCGTGGACCAGGACAAAGCCGTGGACTTCCGTCTCCAGCGCGCGTACGCTGCATCCGGCAGGCTGGACCTCGCCGTGGCGCTGCTCCGCCGCACGGCCGACCCGACCGCCGTCTTCTACACCTCCGCCATCCACGCGCACTCCTCCCGGGGCCTCCACCAAGCGGCGCTGGCGCTCCTCTCGGAGATGCTGCTGTCGCACGGCCTCCTCCCCACCGCGCACACCCTCTCGGCGTCCCTCCCCGCGTGCGGCGGCCTCGCGGTCGGCCGCGCGCTGCACGGATACGCCGTGAAGCTGGCGCTCTCCGGCGAACCGTACGTGGCCACCGCGCTGCTGGGCATGTACGCGCGCTCCGGGGAGGCAGCGGCGGCGCGGGCGCTGTTCGACGGGATGCGGCCGGACCCGCACGTGGTGTCGGTGACGGCGATGCTGACCTGCTACGCCAAGATGGGCCTGCTAGACGACGCGCGCAGCCTGTTCGACGGGTTGCCCAGCAAGGACCTCATCTGCTGGAACGCCATGATGGACGGGTACACGCAGCACGGGCGGCCCAGCGAGGCGCTGCGTCTGTTCCGGCGGATGCTGAGGTCGGGCGTGGAGCCCGACGAGGTGTCGGTGGTGCTGGCGCTCTCGGCGGTGGCGCAGCAGGGTATGGCGGAGTCCGGGAGGTGGCTCCACTCGTTCGTGAGCAGCAGCAGCCGCCGGATCCGGCTCAACGCCAGGGTCGGCACGGCGCTCATCGACATGTACTACAAGTGCGGGAGCCTGGAGGACGCCGTCGCCGTGTTCCGCGACCTCAGCGGCGACGTCAGGGACATTGTCGCGTGGAACGCCATGATCAACGGGTATGCGTTGCACGGGCACAGCCGGGAGGCGCTGGCGGCGTTCGGCCAGCTGCGGGCGCAGGGACTCTGGCCTACCAACATCACCTTCATCGGCGTGCTCAACGCGTGCAGCCACTCTGGGCTGGTCGACGAAGGCCGCGAGCTGTTGGCGTCGATGGAGGAAGAGTACGGCATCCAGCCCAAGGTCGAGCACTACGGCTGCATGGTGGACCTCCTCGGCCGCGCCGGGCGCGTCGAGGAAGCGTTCGACCTCGTGCAGAGCATGAAGACGACGACGACGGCGAAGCCCGACGCGGCGATGTGGGCGTCGCTGCTCGCGGCCTGTCGGCTCCACAAGAACATGGCACTGGGCGAGCGGATCGCCGACCACCTCGTGGCCAACGGGCTGGCCAACTCCGGCACGTACGTCCTGCTGTCGAACATCTACGCGGCGGCGGGGAAGTGGCGGGAGGTGGGGCGGGTGCGGTCGATGATGAGGGCGAGCGGCATCCAGAAGGAGCCCGGGTGCAGCGCCGTGGAGGTGGGGCGGCGTGTGGTGGAGTTCGTGGCCGGGGACCGGAGCCACCCGCGCGCGGCGGAGATCTACGCCAAGCTGGAGGAGGTGAAAGGCATGGCGCGGGCGCGCGGGCACGTGCCGCGGACCGAGCTGGTGCTGCACGACCTCGACGACGACGACGCGGCCAAGGAGCAGGCGCTGGCGGTGCACAGCGAGAAGCTGGCCCTGGCGTTTGGGCTCATCAGCACGCCGCCTGGGACGGCGATCAAGATCGTCAAGAACCTCCGGGCGTGCGCCGACTGCCACGCCGTGCTGAAGCTGGTGTCGGAGGTGACGGGGAGGAAGATTGTGTTCAGGGATAGGAGCAGGTTCCACCATTTCGTCGACGGGTCATGCACTTGTGGAGATTACTGGTGAATGGTGATGCGATGCATGCAGGATGGCAGCTGAACAATGTGTAATCAGCGCATAAGTTAGTCTGATTAAGCATAAAAGTAAATGGCATTGACATCTGAAGTGTTAATGTAAACAGTCAACTAATTTTGGTACAATGAAGCAACAACGTGTAACTGTCTTTTCCTTTTCAAATATGAAAGGATAACAAATGAACTCGTCTTTGATTGTTGTCAATGTAATCTAACAGGAACATACAATTTATATACTATTGTTTGTTGCATAAGACGTTGATTCTGAAGATAAGGGACAAAAGTGTCTGATCAAACATTAGAGTGAAGGTACAAATTTCTGAAGCAGCTGGAAGCTAGACACGGAACAAAAAAGCTTCGAATTAACCATGGATGCATTTTTTTTCCTGTTTTTGAGGAGGTGAAAAAACATAATGCATGGAAGTACAGAGTACAGTTAATTTTTTCCATTCTTACAAATCGTAAGAGTTTGAGAGCTTTAGACAACATGATCAGAGTTTCAAAGCCCTTACGAGCCTGGTGCTCCGATCATCGATGCTGACGTTCGTGGATGTTAGTTACCTTGTTGAAGGCATTGATATAAGCACACCTGCTCCTATCCGCGCCCTCCCTAGTTGCTCCTTGCCTACTCCCGTCCACCCTTGGCGTGCCCTTGTGTTCTCCTACCCCATCTGGTCGTTGGTATGGCTACCCTCCTACCCCTTGGCTTGTGTAAACACTACTTGCAGCCTGTGGCTGCCGGTGCTTCGCCACCAATAACTTGCTCTGTCGTTGTGTCTCTGTTAAGTGTTGTAAAATCACTTGAGTGCTTGGCACCAAGTCTCATCATATCTTTGGGTTGCGTGGACTTTGATCTCCTCTCTTTCAAGGATCTCCTCGTTCTCCTCACCACATGTTCAATTTGTGACCTGTTGAATTGTGATGAGATGCTCCCCTTTGAGGCTTCCTTCCCCAAACGCAACGGCGATATTAGTGGGCGTTGGTTGGTGGCTCGTGGGTGTATGTGATCAAAATAAAATCTATAGAAATAGTCGCTGCATAAAAACAAGCAAAAGAAAAAATTACATGCGATGCTACTCCACTACCACTGTCCACTGAGCTAGCTTTCACCATGCATAGCCTGAAAAAATATCACAAAGACCGCAGCTTCTGATATTCAATGTCTTGCAGGCCTCCTGTAGCCTCGGTCCGTCGTGCTGCCCCTCTTCCGCCCTGTCTCAAATAGCCTCCCACTCAATTCCTTACAGCTGCATGTGGTGTGAAGCTCTTCGGAGTATGTCTTTGGTGGTGGCACAGGTTAGGAAGTTGTGCTTGGAGTCGCTTCGGTTAGTAGGCGGGCTTGATAGCTGAATCCTGTTGTGTTTGTTGTTGCTCTGTTAAGTGTTGTAATCTCTCCCTCTCATACTTCATGTACTTTTTGAAAGCTTTGTATTGGGATTGGCACAAAGTCCTTCCACCCCCGGCTTGCCCGGTATATGTGGAATGAAAATTCAGGTGGAGAGATCTTATCGCCCCGGTGTTGACCTTAAAAAAAAGCCTGAGAGCAACATCCAACCGAGGGTACAGAGCAAATGGAAAATTGCACTAGCTTTCAAGAAATAGCAATACATGTTAATATAAATCTAGAGCAAAGTCTTCCGTTCAAAAAATCTAGAGCAAAGTCACCACATGTTCAATTTGAGAGTGATTAAATGAAACTTACTGTTGAATTGTGATGAGATGCATGCAGGATGGCAGCTGGGTGACTGCACATACAGTTGTAGTTTGAATGTATACAGGCAAGCAGGGAGGCAGCGAGGTGACGCAACGGAATTTGCAGATATTAGTGGGAAACACAAAGTCATGTTATAAGAGAGACAAAGTTTCATGTTCAGTGGGAATACAAAATTTCAGTGGGTGTATGTGTATCAAAATAAAATCTATAGAAATAGTCAGGGACTGCACAAAAACAAGCAAAAAGAAAAAATTACATGACTTGCCGGTTTTTCATGACTGCTTTCTTTTCAGATGCCACTACCACTGTCCACTGAGCTAGCTTTCACCATGCATAGCCTGAAAAAATTATCACAAAGACCGCAGAAAACAAGGTCACTCTGTATATTCATAGTTTCACACCACACCAGAGTCATCAACTACGTAGCAAACATAAAACCTATCCAACTTACTGTTTTTCATTGTCAGATACCGTTTGCACATTGCCGAGGTATCAGCTTCTCCCCTGAAGATGAATCCGTTCCTTGTTTTTCCAAAGTTGGCAGCAGCAAAAGCGCCACAAGATCGAGTCTCAAGGCATTACACGCAGTGTAGTGTAGTGTAGCTCGGCGATGACAAAGTGGAACATGGATGTTGAGTTTTTTCACAGAACTGAACTGCAAAGGCACACCTGACCTGACCCTGCAATTATGGGATGTGCTGTTTCATGCCTCTGATTGCAGATCTCACACTGCGGCTGCGGCTGCGGACTAAGTATTAACGATCCTTTTTCGGTTTGTGCCCTGTGTAAAAATATAGGATCACTAGGAACAGATCTAGCGGGTGGGAACTTCACCAATCATGACATAAACAAGTAGATTATTCTAGTGCATGAACTAGAGAGAAAAAAGAGAGATAGAAGGGGCTGGTCGTCCTGCTTGGAGGCAGATGAAGCCACGGAGTTGGTGGCGAGGTTGACCCCGGGGTGAGTGACTCTGGTGAAGGTGCTGACGTGCTCGTCCCGGCGGCGTACATCCAGTGGTGAGGGTGGTGGCGCTGGCAGTGGCGCTTCCCGTCGCTGTCAGCGCTGCCCTCTCGATCGAACTACGGTTAGATGTCGGTGGGGAGTTGGCGGCTGCGGTGAACCTCATAACTAATGCCCCAGCTCCCACCTTTCTCTTTATAAAACGCTTACTGCATTGTCGACCGTTTGCAGGCCCACCAACCATGAACCCGTTCTTGGTTGGCAGCAAAAGCGCCACAAGATCGAGTCTCAAGGCATCACGCAGTCTCGGCGATGACAAAGTGGAACATGGATGTTGCACAGAACTGATCAAAGACCCAAATTAGCCATTGGACCAACTTGGTGGAGATTAACCTAACACGCTGCAGCCTGCCGCCCAAGACCAGAGCAGAGCATCCAGAGAGGTAGAGAGTGGTTTGTACCAGGGAATGGGATCGCACCTCCGGTTGTGGTACGCCTCTGCCGCCGGAGACCAGACCGCAGTGGATGAGTTCGATCGGTGCTGGCCTGCAGCCTCTCTCTGTGATCGGTAGACCGGAGTTGGGGATAGATCTGGACCGTCCATGCGCACATAAACGGTCGAGATGCGCCGATGACCCAGTCAACCAACGTGGTCTGACTGGAGGACGGTCAGTCGTGACCGTGTTGCAGTTTACTCGGGTTCCTCTATTTTGCTTTTGCACACGAGAAGCTCTGTGTCTTGCGGATTTCAGAAAAGAAAAAGGCCCTGAAAAACTGTTTTTCTTCACAAAAATTCCCTTGCAGCCTTGTTCATTTCGTATCTTGGCTTTATTAGCTCCGTTTTTGTTAACGGTTCTTCCGCTCCGAAGTTCGCAGCTACAGATATAGAATTCATATATGCATATTCACGATGGTTGGTGTCCATTTTTTTTGTTTATTTGCATCCATGTTTACACGTGTGCTCACTGCTTGATGCGTTTAGATGAGCGGCTCGTGACCATTGAACGAAAGGTGACGAATAGCTTACCATTACCTTTCTTACATGTAAATTTAAAAGCACATTCATTCCATTCCATATTTTTATTCGTGTAAAGAATTTATTTATAATTTTGTGCCACTAATATGCTTTTTCGAGAATTTAAATGAGTTTATGCCTATTTACTGGGATAACTTACCATTTTGAGCTTCACGTGTTGTAAAAATAAAAATGATCCTTAAATAAATTCTAAAGAAGCATATATGTTAGTACGTTTGTACTTTTAGCACCACGTGCAAACTTCGAAGGAAAAATTCAATATCTTGTATACTTATGCATCAATTTTGTTAGTCTCTTTTAAGTTTCTAAAAATTATTAATGCTCAGATATTATAAAAAAAGTTATAAAATTTTGGTGGCGACCAAATTGCATCAGTATTACATCCCTGAAAAATAAATTTCATTATGTAAGTAGAATTGTGGTAATCATATGCTACACTTGGCCTTCCTTACAGAGGACCTGCTCCTACTTTTCTCCCTCACTAGGAAGATGCATTGCCTCTCTCACATGTAAATTTAGAATCACCTTGCCCTTTATTCACGTGGGTCCAATACGCCATCTTTATATATTTCCAATATATGCAAGTAGAATTGTGCTACTCATATGCTACACTTGACCTTCCCCAAAAAAAGGACACCGACCATCATGGGAATTCTAGATATCTGTCGCTGCGAACTTCGGAGCGGAAGAATCGTAAAAAAACGGAGCTAATAAAACGAAGATACGTGTGGCTCTGTTCCCTTGAGCTTATAAGTCAGAATCAGCCATATTTTTTTAGTCATGGATTAGTGTTTTCTCTCACAACAAATCAAGCCTACAAATAAACCACAACAACAATAAATCCTGCCGAACATAGCCACGAAATGAACTCAGCTTGGTACCAGGACTTGGCCTTTCTATATATCATATAAGCTTACTACGTAGTCCAGGCATATGGAAAGTAGTTGAGTTGTGCTTTACACAAGAATCATCAGTAGCAGAGGAAAAGCGGTGAAGGAAAGGAAGCTCACCCAGTCCCGATCGAGGCGGCACAATGGACGTCGCCGCCCTCAGGGGGGCTCTAGCCCCCCTATCCTGGTCGCGCCTGTAGAGCCCCACTCAACGTCAATGCGTCGTCACCGGTCTTTAATGCACTTTCAATTGTTTATCTAAGTTATTATGTAAAAGGCTTAAAATCAGGATGCCATAGATGCCACAATAGTTGGGTGCCTCATAAAATTTAGTTCGAATGTTTAGACACATGAATGAAAAATATTTACGAAACTAATTTATAACTTAG